CAGCCACGCTTGGAGCTCAGCCTGTAATCCCGCGCTTTGGGAGGCTGAGGTGAGTGGATTGCCTGAGCCTGTGGGTTTGAGACCCCCCTGGGCAACTTGGCGAGACCTCATCTCTACAATAAGTCAAAAAATTAGCTGGGCGTGGTAGCGTGTGCCTGTAGTTCCAGCTACTTGGAAGGCTGAGGCGGAAGGATCGCTGGAGCCCAGCAGGTCGAGGCTGTAGTGACTGGGAGCGTGCCACTGCATTCCAGTCTGGGTGACAGAGTGAGACTCCAACTCAAAAAAAAAAATTTGATACCATGTAGACAATATGCAGACATATATATATAGATGTGACATATTTCATAAGTATGTATGCATCTAAAAGCCAAAGAGCCAGGAGCAGTGGTTCATGCCTATAATCTCAGTACTTTGGGAAGCCAAGGTAGGAGGATTGTTTGAGCCCAGGAGTTTGGCACCAGCCTAGGCTACATAGTGAAACTGTCTCTGTACAAATAATAAAATAAGAAAATTAGCCAGGCATGGTGGCTTGTGCCTATAGCCCCAGCTACTCTGGAGGTTGAGGCAGAAGAATAACCTGAGCTGGGTCAAAGCTGTGATGAGCTGTGATTATATCACTGCACTTCTTGGTTAGTACCCAGTTGGTAGTTACTTCATATTCCTGGTACTTATGAGAGGAAGAAGAAGGTCTAGAGACTGAAACTGCTGGATAAACTACTTTGTTCCATTTCATGTGGCCATTAGAAAATCAGATAAACCAGACATGGTCCCTACCATCCAGGAACTTCTAGTCTAGAGCAAACAGGTAAGTGTTTGAATTCAACATCACATGGTCAGAATAAAAAAGGGAGGTATCCAGGTGACTTGGGCTCCATTTGGGTCACTTCCCTTTCATTGTTGTGAGTTCTGATGTCACCACCTGAAAGGCTACTAATGGACAGAAGAGTTGTTGCTAATATTTCTATTGCTATTAACTTGGTAAGAATGACTATTTAGCCACTAATATAGTTATCCTAGAAAATTAGGGTTTTAGTTAAATTTCTGGTTATTGTATGTTAACAGATACACATGAAAGTAGCTAAAATAAATTAAAATTGCACAAATTCTGTGAGTCAGCTTTCTCTTGGGCAGGCAGGGAAGACAGACCAAATGCTATAGCCACACTGTGAGTAAGAAGTCTCCAACACACTGAGAGTCGAATTTGAGTCCTTCATTTGCCAATGATCAAGAGCAGGCTAGTGCCACAAAGAACTCTCAACCCCAAGCAGAGCCAGCAAGAGGCTTATAAAGGCAAAAACCGCAAGTGGGCTACATAGCATGGGATAGGAGAACAAGGAACTAAAAACAAAAAGAGAACAAAATATGAGGATGTCGTTGGGGGATTTTACAAAGAATGGTTTCTTGGTGTAACATCTGATTTTGGTTAAGCAAGGGTGCAATTAGATATGGAACTTGTGGTTGGGGAGTTTCCAAATGCCAAGGGGCAACAAAGATGTAGGTCTGTGATCATGGGAAGTTTACCACAGTCACCCCTGGGGGGGGAGGGGTTTACATCTGGGTAGGCAGGCAACTATAATGGAGGATTTGTGACAAAATGGAGTTACGTATGTCAAGCAAGCTATTACAGATATTTTGGATATTTCATAAACATATCTTAGTGTCATAGGGATGAGAAGCACAGGATGTGCTCCCTGTCCCAGCCCTTCCCAGATCCACCCTCATCTGAGCCTCATCCAGGCCTGGCTTCACCCTGGATTTTCCCCTAACAGAACTATTAGAGAAGGTCAGAATTTTGGGCGACTACTCCTGCCATCTCCAGAACTGGTGCTCAGAATTTCCTGAAACCCAAAAGCAGATAAATAAGAATGAACAACTATATTTTGGGACCTTAATTTTTTTTCTCTTTGTAACCAGTCCCTCTCCAGACATCCTATCTAGCAACTTTTACTCCATTCTTGGCAATCCAGTATTTTCTCCACAAGTTACAAGAAAGTAAATATAAATGCAACAATGAAAGCTTTATCTGAAATATAGTCCACACTTTATTTCTGTATTCCTCTCATCTGTGTATAGTTAGCTTTTATTCCATACATTTCCTTTTAAATCAACAGTAAGGAAACAGAAGAAAATATAATTTCTGAACCTTTCATTTAAATGTGGGAATTATAGGATACTTAGTGCCTCCCTTCTAGGGTGTTATGAGTGTTAACTCACGTAATGTGAGGTTCCCAGCACAGTGCACTGTAATGTGTTTCAGAGCACATAGTACATGTTCAGTAAACCCTTGCATTAATGCATGTTCAGTAAACCTTGCATTAATTCCAAGTGCAGACTGAGGCTTTGTAAACTTTAAAGGGACAGCAAAGAATGTGATCTTTCAGGACAGTAGTTGGTGGTTTTCACTGCCAACAGGAAGTGTTTCTGTTGTGAAGAGAGTGGTGGGTGTGAGGGCCTCTGTGTGCTGTGCCTGCTTTCTCTAGCTGAGTGCTACTGACAGTGGGTTTAGTAGGACCAGTGTCAGCACTGACAGGGAACTTGTTAGAGAAATCCATTCTTGACCCCTTTCAAACCTGCAGAGGGCCTGGAATACCAAGTGATTTATGTGCAACATTGAACTTAAGGCAATGCTTAGCTAAGTGACTCTCAACCCAGGCTTCCATTTAGGATCACATGGGCAGTTGGAAGAAATTCCATCACCTGTACCCTCCACAGAGAATCTCTCTATTGTTGGGTGGAACCTGTGTTGTTTTAATTAAGTGCCCCATGTGATGCTAAGGTAGGCCAGGGTCCAGCACAAGCCCTCCCAGATACATTCATGAGAGTCAAGTTCAGCCTTTGCTCCAAAGGGATGTCATGTGGCCTGCACTGCTGGTATTGATGGGAACAGGTCATTGCAGTCTGTATTCCCATTGCTGTAATAGAACTTGCTAGAATCAGTGGCATGGGAGGGCACCTGAAGGCAGGAAAGAAAAAGCTTATATTTTGATCTTTATGTGGGATCTCATTTTTCCTGAATCTGTTTTGTGATGAAAGTGGCCTTTTCTCCAAAATTCTGCCTGTGGGTGTGGTGGTGGCAGGTGAAAGCATTGTGCTTATGCCTCTAAAAGCATATTCTCAAATGCAGTTGTGATTTGTTTGAATAATCTCACCTCAGAAGGAATCCCAAAGAATGAGAAGGAAGAGTAAGAAATGGCTGATTGTCAGGTGAATGTGTCCCAGGTTAGGGACTGTATCCTCACTTCCTCCTGGAATGTCATGTGTTTAGAACTCATAAACCTTTACTGTTCTACTTACGATGTTCCTGCCTAATGTGTTTGTTTCAGCTGTCTTTTTTTTCCCTGTTTCTTGTGGTAGTCAAGGATCTAAGTAAAACTCTACTCTCCTATATGCCAGAGTCTTCTCTATTCTCTATTCTCTCTATTCTCTCCATCCGGGCTTCTTACGTGCCTTGACCAAATCTTACCAGGAATTTATTAGCTGCAATATTTCTTTTGAGTCAGAGTCTTGCTGTGTTGCCCAGGCTGGAGTGCAGTGTCATGCTCATAGCCACTGCAGCCTTGACATGCTGGGCTCAGGCGATCCTGACCCCTCAGCCTTCCAAGTAGCTGGAACCACAGGCTTGTGCCACCACATAGAACTAATTTTTTTGATTTATGGTAGAGACAGGGTCTCGCAAATTGCCCAGGGTAGTCTTGAACCCCTGGACTCAGGCAGTCCTCTTGCCTCCACCTCCCAAAGTACTGGGATTACAGTAGGCATGAGCCACTGTGCCTGGCAATCAACTGCAATATTAAGAATGCTTTCTTTGTGACAAATCAACATGAGAAGTTGTCGGCACCCAAGATTCCTGTTGGGGATGAGGCCAGGTCCTTTGATTATAGTGAAGAAGGGGGACATGTACTGTTTAGGTTCCATCAGGTTACTCCGACAGCTCAATGCAGAACTAGATTAAGAAAAATGTACATTTAACATGATGTCACTTAATTGTCCAGAATGACTCAGAAAGTTCTAAAAATAAGAATATCAGAAGAGTCTTATTCTTTAGAATGCTAAACAAAGACTAAGTATATTAATAGAGATTACAGAACCTGGGAGATATTTGTAGCTTGAATTTTGCATAAAACTGATGTTTCTTCATAATTAGATTCAGATTATAATTTACTTTTTTGTGGTTAATAGTGACATCTTGTCCTTTGTGCATTGGCACTTGATACAGCTTTTCCTATTAAAGTTGATGCTAATTTCATTCACTTGGTTAAGGTGCTGTCTGACAGATTTTTTTTTGCGATATTTTTCTACCTTTTCCTCTTTATTATTAAAAAGTGCCTTGGGAAGATTTTCCAACTGATGTGTGTAAGTCATCACATTATCTGGAGTCCCCCCCCACCCCGCCTTTTTTAATTCTCTTGCTTTAGGAAAGGAAGGCTCTCATCTTTGTTGACCGGTCAGATTAACTGAAATAAAATCCAGGCTGTATCCTTTACTGGGTGTTTAACAAGATGTTGTGCTTGGGCTGGAAGCATTGACATTACTGGATAGTTCGTTCGAAACTCAGAAACTGAGGCTTCACCCCAGAGCTCCTGAATGAGAATCTGCATTTTAACAAGATCTCTACTTTTTTGCTGTACACATTAAAATTGGAGAGGTGCCCTCTAGTTCATCATGACTTCTCCATATGGGAAATATTCACAGCTTATCCTGTATGAGGTAAATATAGCAGTCAAAAATTTATACACCTGTGTTAATGCTGTCGATTTTGTACTGTAGCATCCACAGAAGTATAGAATCTACACTGGTTTTGTGGATTTTATGCCATCTTTCCTCAGAGTTAGAGATACATTAGAGAATATTCCTGTGTATAAAAGTGACATATTGAATAATTCTAGTCACTCATATAAGTCAGAACCAGATCTCTTTACTTCCCTTTTTTACCTGAATTTAAATTAAGAATTCTACCATGGCCACTTGGTAAATATATTTTTGTTTTGTTTTTCTTTCAGGTACTGTTGACATTCAGGGATGTGGCCATAGAATTCTCTCTGGAAGAGTGGGATTGCCTGGACCCTGCTCAGAGGAATTTGTATAGGGATGTGATGCTAGAGAACTACAGAAACCTGGTCTCCCTGGGTGAGGATAACTTCAGTACAAAATTTGTATTTCACAGTAAGGATTTTATCTCCTTTCCTTGTTGAATGTTTTGTTAGGAGTTTCTGCTTTGCATGAGTAAGTTTCACATCACTGCTTTCAAGGAGAACTTAGAGACTTGTTAGTATAGAAAGGAAAATCTTCTAGATGTTTTATCTTGACCTGAACCATCTCCTTTTTTAAACTGATCTGTGTCCTTCACTATAGTGGTAATTCTAGAAATTCAGTAACAAATATTGTTGCCTACACCTTCTTTTTTTGGACTCAGGATGTCATTCTCATCTAACCTGGAGTGCAGTGGCATGATTATGGTTCACATCAGTCTCTACTACCTGGGCTCAGGTGATTCTCCCACTTGAGCCTCCTGAGTTGCTGAGACTACAATCATGTACCACTACACCCACCTAATTTTTAAGTTTTTTTTTTTAAATAGCGATAAGATATCACTATGCTGCCTAGGCTATTCCTGGACTTTTGGAGTCAAGAAATTATCCTGCCTTGGCCTTCCAAAAGTGCTAAGATTACAGGTGTGAGGCACCATGCTCAGCCTGCTCACACCTTAAAATTCTATTTTTTTCACTAAGTTTTGATTCAGTAGTACTGGTTAGTGGAGCTAAGAACTCACACATTTAAAATCTTTCCTAAATATTCTAAAGGTTCTATTAGAAAACAGTATTTTGAGATTAATTTTCTATGATTTTCTACAATGTTCTCTCTTTACTAAGCACAGTACCAGGTTGGTGATAGGAGAATCCCAGCAAGAGTTGTGTTACCTTTTTCTAATAAAACAGATCTTGCTATGTCTACACCGGACCTAATCACCTGTCTGGAGCAGAGCAAAGAACCCTGGAATTTGGAGAGACAGGAGATAGTAGCCAAACACCCAGGTAAGTGGGAGTGAATGAAGCAGGTGCATAGGTGAGAGGTCACAAAGTCAAGAAGGAAGCCAGGACTTAAAATGTGCTTTGAGAGGCTCTGTTCCAATGGAAGTGGCTTCTGAGAAGCCTGGGTTTATTTGTCTTGTTTTAACATAGGGGCATATTCTGTCCTGTGCTATTAATATCTCCAAGGACTCTACTTCCCCTTCAGTGATTTTCCTTGAACCTTACAGTGAGAACCAAAGTCTTTATGGCTTATAAGGACCTGCATGGTCTAACAGCTCTTCTATTGTTTTGGGGAACTATTTGCATGTTTTTGCAAAACTCTGTTAAACAATTTTTAAAATTTCTTCTTTGCATCATATCTGCAATGTGAACAATAGTGATGATGTTGGGATTTGGTTCAGAAATTCCAGGAACACTAGGACCAGATGTCTATTTTCTGTTTATGAGTTCCTATCTTATGGAGGTTTTCAATGTGATTCTACAGAAATTCATACTCCATAATTTTATCAGAACACTAAGCATCTCCCTATATGTAAGAAAATCTAAAGTTAATTTTACTTCAAAATTGTATTTTTTAGTATAAACTGAGATTGGTAATTTAAACTGAAATGCATCTACTCACTTCCCAGATTCTTTTTCTTTTTTTTGAGTCATGGTCTCACTCTATTACCCAGTCTGCAGTACAGTATTGTGATCGTGGCTCACGGCAGCCTCAACCTCCTAGGCGCAGGTTGTCCTTCTTCCTCAGCCTGTTGAGTAGCTGGGACTATAGGTATGTACCACTACACTTGGCTAAATTTTTGTAAAGATATGAGGTCTTGCTATGTTGCCTTGACTGATTTTAAGTCCTGATCTCAAGTAATCCCTGACTCAGCCTCCCAAATTGATAGGATTACAGGCATGAGCCACCATGTCTGGCCCCAGATTTCTTAAATATACTGTGTCATTGGAGTCATTAGAATATTGCTAAGTGTTTGTTAAACTTTCTCTTGTTATCTTATTTTTTTTTACTATCTAGTCATTTTATAAATTTATTTTGTTTAGTATAATGCTTACTAGGACTATGTCATTCATATATATATGTGTCTGGATTTTTTTAATGTAATTTTTTTTACAAATAATGTATAACTATTGTGCACAGTGTAATAATTTGATATGTGTCTACATTGTGAAATAATTGATACATATAAGTTCAAACATCTGTCATCTCATGAGCTGGGCCCATTGGCTCACACCTGTAATCCCAGCGCTTTGCAAGGCCGAGGCAGGAAAATTACTTGAGCTCAGGAGCTGAAGACCAGCCTAGGCAACATAGCAAGACCTTGTCTAAGCAAAAAAAATAAAAAAATTAGCTGAATGTGGTAGTGTGCACCTATAGTTCCAGCCATTTGGGATGCTGAGGTGGAAGGATTGTCTGGGAGGTCTTGGTTGCAGTGAGCTGTGATCATGCCACTGCCCTTCAGCCTGGGCAACAGAATGAGACCCTGACTCAAACAAAACATGTATTATCTCACATAGGTCCCTTTTTTTAATATACTGAGAAAATTTAAGGTCTGATCTCTTAATGAAAATGTTAAGCATACAAAACATTATTAACTAGTTGTGAAACTATACATTATATTTCTATAATGTATAACTATACATTATATTTCTATAACTCATGCATTTTATAATAGAATATTTTTGTGAAACTATACATTATATTTCTATAACTCATGCATTTTATAATAGAATATTTTTACCCTTTGAACAACATTTCCTATTTTCCCCACATTTATTCCCTGGAAACCACCTTTGTATTCTATTATTTTATGAGTTCAATCCTTTTTTTTTTTTTTTTTTCTTTTTAAGACAGGGTCTTGCTCTGTTGGCCAGGCTGGAATGCAACGGTATGATCATGGGTCACTGCAGTCTCATTTTGGATCAAAAAATCCTCCCACTGCAACCTCCAGAGTAGCTGGGAATATAGTGATGGACCATCATGCCTGGCTAATTAAAAAAAAAAATTGTAGCGTTGGAATCTTACTTTTTTTCCTAGTCTGGTCTTGATTTTTGGCCTCAAGCCACCCACTTCAGTCTCCCAAAATGCTGGAATTATAGGCATGAGCCACCATTCCTGGCTGAGTTCAACTTTTTTAGATTTCTCATGTAAGCAAAAACATAAAATATTTGTCTGGTTTATTTCACTTAGCATAATGTCCTTCAGGTCTATCTATGTTGTTGAAATTGCAGAATTGTATTATTTTTAAATGACCGAATAATATTTTGTCTATTTAAACCATGTTTCTTTTTCCATTCAGCACTCACAAACATTTAGATTGTTTTCATATTTTGGTAATTGTGAATAATGCTGCAATAAACATGAGGGAGTGCAGATATTTCTTTGAGATACTAATTTTATTTCCTTTGGTTATATGCCCAAAAGTTGAATTGCTGCATTGTGTGATAGTTATATTTTAAAAAAAAAAATTTTTAAAGACCCTTCATGCTTATTTTTATAATGACTCCTCCAATTTACAACTCACAAATAGTGTACAGAATTTCATTTTCTTCACATCTTTGTCAACACTAACAAGTTGACAAAGTTAACTCTCTTCCTTTCTTTTTGTTTGAATGTATCAGGTACAAGTGTAATTTAGTTACATGCATAGATTGCATACTATTGAAGTCAGGGCTTTTAGTGTATCCATCACCTAAATAATGTCCATATCTTTTCTTTTTGATACTTCATCCTAATGAGTATGAAGTAATATCTCAATTTTTTTTGATTTGCTGTTGTCTGATGATTGGTGATGTTGAGCACTTTTTCATATACCCTTTGGCTGTTTGTATGTCATTGTTGGGGGAAAAAAATCTATTCATTCTTTTGCTTGTTTTTTTTAATCAGGTTATTATTATCATTACTATTATTGTTACTGCTTTTTGTGAGTTTCTTATATCTTTTAGATATTAACCACTTGTCAGATAGATGGTTTGCAGATATTTTCTCCCATCCTGTAAGTTTTCTTATTTTATTTTTCTGTGGAGAAGCTTTTTAGTTTTTATGGTGCCATTCTAATGGGTGTGAGGTGATGTCTCATGATTTTGCTTTGCATTTCTCTAAAAATCAGTAATTTTGAGCATTCTTTCAAATGTTTACTGGCAAATCATATGTATTTTTAGGGAAATCTTAGTACTTTACTTTTTAATCAAGTTATTCCCTTTTTTGTTGTTGAATGTTAGAGACTGTTTATATATTCTAGATATTAACATATATCAAACATGATTTACAAAATTTTTACCCATTTCTAAGATGGCATTCTCACTCCACAAAATGTTTCTTTTGATGAACAGAAATTCTGAAGTTTGTAGTCCCATTTTTCTGTCATTGATTATGCATTTGATTTCATATTCAAGAAAACAGTGCCAACACCAATGTCATAATTTTTTCCCATATATTATCTTCTAAGAGTTTTATTAGATATGTATTTTTTAAGTTTAGGTATTTAATTCATATAAAATAATTTTTTTGCATATGGTGCAAGATAAGGGTTCAACTTTATGTTTTCCATGTAGATATTCATGAATGTCATTTGTAGAACATGATTTGTTTTGAACATCATTTATTGAAAAGACTTTTTCTACTGTGTGGTCACAGCAACCTTGTGTAAGATTATTTGATTGTATACAAAAGAGTTCATTTCTGGGCTTTCTGTTGTGTTCTGTCATCTGTTTATCAGTCTTTGTGCCAATACCACATTGTTTTTTTAAAGTCAGAGTCTCATTCTATTGCCCAGGCTGGAGTGCAGTGACATGATCATGTCTCACAGCAGCCTTGAGCTCCTGGGTTCAATCGATCCTCCCACCTCAGCCTCTCAAATAGCTGGGACTATAGGCATGTCCCAGCTAATTTATTTTTTTTGTAGAGGTGAGGTCTCGCTATGTTGCTCCAGCTGGTCTCCAGCTCCTGGGCTTGAGTGAACCTCCTGCCTCAACATTTCGAGTTGCTGGGATTACAAGCATGAGCCACCATGCCCAATGCATGTTGTTTTTATTTATGTAACTTTGATGTATATTATAAAGATGTGAGGTACAAGTCAGGATTAGATACATAAATAATGTATGTGCAGGTGAAGTTTGCACCTGTAACTGGTCCTTACTTCCCCTGGTTTAGAATCAGGTACCCTGTCTCTCCTGGCAGTGTCCCGCGACTGCTGATGCCTCCCTTGTGCTATCGTGATTAATGTTCCGGTCCCACTTATGAGCACATATGGTATTCGGTTCTTTGTTTCTGTGATAGATTGCTGAAAATGATTGTCTCCAGTTCCATCCAATTTTCTGAGAAGTCCATGATTTTGTCTTTTATGACTGTGTAATATTTCATTGTGTGTATGTACTACATTTGCTTTATCAAGTCAACTTCTGATGGGCAGTAGGGTTGGTTCTATGTTTTTGCTATTTTGTGAATAGTGCGGCAATAAACATGAGTGTGCCAGTGTCCTTTCTGTAGAATAATTTGTGTTCCTCTGGATATATTCTCAGAAGGGGGATTGCTGGATCATATGGAAGGTTGATGTCTAGTTCTTTTAGAAATTGTCACACTGTTTTCCATAGAGGTTGGAATAGTTTGCACTCCTACCAACAGTGTAGAAGTGTCCCCTTTCTTTCCGTACCTACTCCAACATCTATTGTTTTTTTATTTATTAATGATGGCCATCCTTCCTGGGGTAAGATGGTGTTTCAGTGTGGTTTTGATTTGCATTTATCTGATGATTAGTGAGGCTGAGTATTTTTTCATGTATCTGTTGGCTACTCATATGTCTTCTTTTCAGAAATTTCTTGTCCTCTGCCCTTTTTGCTCCCCCCCCTTTTTTGAGTTGGGGTCTCACTCTGCCGCCCAGGCTGGAGTGGCCACCCCAGCGTCAACCTGCTGGGCTCAGGCGATCCTTCCGCCTCAGCCTTCCAAGTAACTGGAACTACAGGTGCACGCTACCATGCCCAGCTAATTTTTTCTATTTATTGTA